TTTGTAAAAGCTAAATGTGTGTGTGTGTGTGTGCCGTGCGTGCGTGCGTGCGTGCGTGTGTGTGTGTGTGTGTGTGGTGGAGCTGATGTACAGAGTTCAGCATTAGGCCTTAGAACCAATTTCTAGGCAAATTGGTTTCATTTAAGAATGAGATCACAGAGTAAGCAAACCTCTTTCAGGGCAAGTTCATGCATCTGTAGCCATTTATTTCAGTTTTATATGCATTGCTTGGCACAGGCTGTTTGTAGGTAGAATATGCATAATCTTAGCCACGGGCACCGTGCTATAGTTAGTGTTCACATTTACCTGTTATTACCATGAAGTTTAATAGTTTCTTCCATTTCATTGCATTCTGTCAAAAAGAGCTTCAACAGTAATTTAGTATTTTGTTTTCTATATTCCTTCAAGCACTGTTGTGGAATCAGTGCTAATCAAAGCCACATGCAGCTAATTGCCCTCTCCAGTCTCTTGCGAAGAGCACAAGCAGGCCCATTAGGCATCAATGGAACATATGTCGGAGTTTTTGAGTGGGTGTGAAATTTAGTTTATTTTCAAGGGGAATAATAGTCACTTGACCATAGTTAGCATCTCTGCTCGTATTTTCATTTATTTAAGATGGTTGTATTTACCTCAGTTTAAAACAAAGGCTGTAGTTTTGTCTCTGAGGCTGTTTGAAGGACAGCATAATAACCCAGCAGTAGAGAACATAGATAATTCATGCATTGTTATATGCATTATCAAGCCACGGACATGCTATTCGACGAACAGTCACAAATAGCACACGTTTCAATCGTGGTGGTGTTTAGATTGCACTGATCAAATTTAAAGTCGATCCAATCAATCCCCTAGCAGGAGTTTGTGAAAACACAACGTGTGCAAATCACCAAAAAATGACCACTAAATTCAAATTGGCCGACTTCCTCCTTGGGTTTGGGGTATGGGTCCAGGAAGCTTGTTTGTATGACGGGACATGATACATGTGCCTGCCAATTTTCATACATCTCGGTGAAACGGGACGGTGGGGCTGCTTCGTTGAAGTTTTCTAGGGGGTGCTATGGAGCCATTTTGCCACAACCATGTGCAAGACCAAAATCAGATGTAACATTTTACCATTTGTGATGTATGAGCCAAGTTTCATGAGTTTTCGAGCATGTTTAGCCCACCAACAATGTGATGAACTGTAAAAAAAATAAATAATGGAAAAATGGAACATCGACATTCTCTGTCGCCGTGGCAACAGCAGTTAGTTATTAATTTATAGCCCCCAGGAGTTTGGTTAAAACTAGCTGACAATATTTTGCTATGTCAGATAGCCAACAATTCATCAGCATTAGCAAGCAAGCTAATGATAGCCAGCTAAGACAACAATATCACAATATATTTCTCAACCTTTTCAGTCAGTAGTTAGCTGAGTTGACTTTGGACTTTCTGTTGGACTCCGTGTTGTGGTGGCTGGACCTTTTTTTTGCGTAACAGCAATCTTTCCATAACCTTATAAAAGTGATTTAGCTGTCTAACCTAAACCATATCTTAACGTTGGCATTTAATGTCACAAGTAGTTGTCATTGTACATCATTTTATGAAACGTGTCCTTGATGTTCAAGACAAACACATCTCTTAGTAAAGGTCCCATAGGTATAACAACCCTGTTAGGGTACAATATTGTAATATTGTAATATTATTGCCATGGATTTTGAACAGAATGGGATCCTTTGATTTGTAAAAAAGGGACATTTCTAATCAACAAACTCTCTGTCCCACCAAGAAAGTAGCGTATTGTGGGATGGAAATGATTGTCCAGAGCTGTTATGCAGATAATCATTAGAATTTCCCACATGGCAATAATGAGGTTGATTCCTCGCCAAGAGTTGGATACCGAACCGATTTAGAAAATACACTGGCAGGAGGTTACTTTGAATATTACCTGAAGTAATCAAAATGCATGGCCAACTATCAGTTCCTTCTCCAAAAAAACTCTCATCCATAAAATTAAATTCTGTATAATTAGAACAGTTGCAGTGTTGATGGATGGAGAATGAAACACAGAATCACTAGTTTCACTTATCTGCCTTCCTTGTGGTTTTTTATTCTATGTGCACCCTTTATGACCACGCTCTGCTGACAGCTGTCCCTATGTCAATATGAATGTCTGTCAAGAGAGATTATACATCACATGAATCGAGGCAGATAATGAGCAAGAGGGAAGGGCACTTTTTAACACCCCCCCGTGTGCAACATATGACACAAGCCAAGCTAATTAAGCAGATGCCATAATGCAGTAATCAGGAACACAGAGGAGGTTGGAGAATTCACAAACTTGAGTCATAACAGCACAACATTTGGTGCTTAAGAACTTCTCCACCACCACAAGCAGATGGGAATGCCAAGCTGCAGTGCATGTGTATTTATGTGTGTGAGCATGTCTGTGTGTGTGTCATGTTTTGTAATTCTGGGTGAGTGTGTTTATGTCTCAATAGTATCTATGTGTGTGTCTGTTTATTACCTTATTCTTCATTTACATGTGTTTTATTTTTTATATATATATACACACACATGCATGTGTCTGTGCATGTGACTGCATGACAAAACACACACACAACTCTGAATCTGTGTGTGTGAATTTACAGCTGGGGACAGTGTTACCTGGTGAGGTGTTTTCCTCATTATTTTTCCAGAAAATGAGCAATCAGCCATATTGCACGGAGCCTGATTGTTTCCCTCTGTAAATCAATCCAGGAATTGCAATTAAAATGTTCTCTTATGTGGTATAATTGATGTCTACCTAATCCTTTATTTGCACACCTGCCGGTGAGTCTGAATTTTTAATGAATTTCTAATTAATGCTCTTTGTACACTTGATTTATGTGTTAGCAAATTATATTGCTGTTCTGTGTCCTGCTAGTAGGAAAGTGCCTACATAATGTCACACATTTGACATCTGAAGTTTGCCTGCTTTCACCAAAAAGGAAGAAAAATACTGTGTTGAGTATACACAAAACAGCGGTGGAGGTTAGACAAATTAAATGTTTCTGATTGTTCTTTAAAGTAGACATTTCCGTAACGCTGAGCTGAGCCACATTCAGCATGTCGTATATTCCAAGTTTGATTGTGACAAACTTCTCTACCTTGCCCTTCTTTATTATGATTGTACCACTATATATATATATTGGGGACCTTAAATCCCCTTATATCAAACATAGGTTTGTCATATTTATTGAGCATTTACACAAGTAGGCATGATGTGCAACTCCACAGGTTTGATCTAATCCTCCAGCAGTGACTTGATCTTTGAGGCCTGCATTACACACACTGTGTATTGGAGAGAGATGGATGTCATACAGTTATCCAAGCACTTTACAACACCACATTAAATCAGTGATGTAAGATAACCAGCTACATGTCTTTTGGGGTTTCAGGGTCTAGCATGTCACATGTGAGGTCTGGTGACATGTGACGTCAAGTGAAATTAAAGGTTAGAGACCGCTGCCCAGACTGATGTATGGCATATTACCCGTTACTGAACTTGAACTTAAATAAAATAGATGACATAATCTAAGAGTCTTAAGCCGTGCCCCATCTGCTTAGGTTCTTGTAAGGAGAAAAAAACAAACATTTTATATTGGAAATAATGATGTTCATTCTCTCTAATTAATGAGTTGCCATTGTTTAACCATGTAAAAAACATAGCTGTTTAAAGATTTAGTAAACATGACAGCAGTATTAAGCTTTCAACATGGCAGAATTAATTTAAATTAAGTGGCTCTTAAATTCTAAATATAATAAACTAAAGCTGAAACTATTAGTCGATTAACTGCTTTGTTGATCGGCAGAAAACTGATCAGCCACTATTTTGTCATTTTTCAAGCAAAAGTGACAAACATTCACTAGTTGCCACTCTTCCAGTGATGATACTCTGTTTTAATCATAAACTGAATATCTTTGGGTTTTTAACTGTTTGTGAGACACAACAAGCAATTGGAAGACGTCAGCTTGTGCTCTGAGAAACTGCAATGCAGTTGCAACAGCTAGTTTCAGCCCTATAATAAACTAATTGTATAAATTGCTCAGCTTCTTGTGAACCAAAGACAAAATAAACTATTAATTACTAGCAGAATAATCATCTTATGGTTATTATGGTCTTATAAATAATGCTGCATACTTGAAGTCAGAAATATTTCTCACATTTTTTGTCTATAACAGATTTGTAGAATATTTTTTGTATTTGGGGAGAAATCACAGGTTTCTGTGCTGCCTAATTATTTAATATTTCTTCTGTAACTGTATGTAACTATCACATGCATCATGTTATTTATAGTAAATACTGTATTCTCACCCAGTATTACTTTAAACATATTCATACAAATGAACATCGTATAATTAGCAAAGTCACTGACATGAATTATCACTTGAAGGATCAGCTGAATATCTGACAGCTCCACAAGACTTGGTATATTGTCAGCTGTTGGTGTGTGTGTCAGATAAACATTGTCACACAGCTCCATTAACAGAGTCTTCTGGGAAAAGTACTTTTTTAAAACAGCTCTGCACCTCTGTTGCAGATGAGTTTGAATGAGCTCAAACTCAATGAGCATTTATTTTCTCTCTAATTTATTTGCTGTTGCATTTCATTTCCAGGCCAATTCACCCTCATAATCAGATGGCAATTAGTGAAGCATGAATCGCAGAGAGCAGCTCAGCTTAACTCACTCCCTTTCACGACACCTGCACGTTCACAACAACACAGTTTGGAGAAGCATTCTTTTATTCCAAATAAAATCTTATTTAGTTCATTTTAAACAGCATTTCTAATTCCATCAGAACTCTGTAAAATGTAATAAAACTTGTTTTGTTGCATCATGTTTTGAAGAACCTCAAATATATTTTCTCTCGCAAGGCTTTTTATAGCATTCCAGTTTCTGGAGACATGATTACATATCAACACATGGGCCAAACTCCTCCAACAACTTTGGTCTTGGTACAAGAGAAAAAAACTCAATATGAACATTTAAGAATCTTTAATTCACACTAGTAATAAAATTGCATTACATTTCATAAAATAAATGTTCCAGTTTATATATACAGAGAAAACAGACTGTACATACCCTCCAATGAACCATTTCTAAAAGGAAAATAAAACAAACCGGAAACAAATTTCACAAAACATACAAGCAATACAGTGCTCAGCTAAGCAGGCACAACTGTACATCAAAATTTGTAACTGCTCAGTGTTGGGGTGTGGGAGGGGCAAAAAGTTGAACATTTACAATAGAGTCCTTAGGGACCGATAAAGGGGTCTTAAAAAGTATTGCAGGCAAGCAGACAGACGCTTGTCTTTTTCCAAGTGCAGCAGAACATCCATCTCGTGTGTAAAGTGTGGAGCCGATTGTTGCTGCCACGAGGTTCCAACTATTGAACCTGTGTCTCAAAGCTCCCATTCAGTTGGCCCTCCTCATAGTCCATTTGACACAAAATCATGTTGTTTTTTAGGAAAAACTTGTCCCCCACGCAAAACCTGTTGGCAGAGAAAAATAAACAAAGGCAAAACTGTTGTTAAAAACACAAAGACGGTTACCGTTGGCATTATGACAAAGCATGCGGTGCGTGTGTGTGTTGATGTTGCATTTAAGACCAGCAGGTAATGATGATTCTGTTTGATTGCATGCGTTTTTTGGTTCGAGATGTTTTAGCCGACGTGCACTGACACTGTGGCTCATCAGATTCAAAGCCTGTTTTCATGGTCGTCATAAATGTGTGGCTTCAAATAAAAGTAGATTAAAACCCTATCATTTCAAAGCAAGCAAACATGAGCACTGGCAGCCAATGAAAGGCAGGTCAACTCTCCCTGGCCTGGCAAAAAGGCACTGGCACCACAAGAGTTTCCAAGGAAACTCTGCCACATGGGTTAGCTTTTAACACACCAGTTTGGTTCCAGTGCTTGAGAATGTTTTCCCTCTAAAGTCTCAGAGTCAATTGAAGAGGGAAAATAACACATAACAGCCTGCCCTACTGATGTTCTTCTCTATGCTGCTGTTTGTTTGTGTGACACAGTGGAGACAGCTCCATAATGTGACTGAAGGGGAGTGAAGATAAGAATATAGCCGAGCATAGCTTGGCTTTAGTAATGAGCCAGACTGGTTAAACAGCCATGGCAATAGTGTGCCAGATGAGTCCTGGCTTCATGTCTGCCAGCTGAGAAGAGAGACTGCAGTCATAATTCCCTTACAGCAGGTGTTCACTATGGTAACTGAATCTGGCCCGCAGAAGGTTAATGGGCTTGTGCTGTGTGGAGGAACAGGGTCACAGCACCCCTGACAAGCATGCAAAGGACGTTCTGCTCCCAGAGTGGTGCCATTACTGACAGTATATAAATGGGAAAAAGCAATATTTGGGTATGTCATATTCTGTGTGGCTCATACCATAGGCTTTGTGCTCACTCCAATTTTATAATAGTTCCTATCATTAAGGAGACACCATTTCACACCTGTGTAGGTCCTTGCTCCTTTATGCAGCAACACACCCATGCAGGACTTTATTTCTGTAGCTCCTATACCTCCTCGCACACATAAGAACAAGGGCTAATTTCACTTCCCTGTGGCTTAAAAGATTTACAGAGCTAGCCACAAACAAGGACAAACTGCTGGCAACGTGTCACGATAGCAAATAATTAGCAGAGCATTACAAATGCAATACAGCAACCTTTATTCTTACAACACAGGAAGACAGTTCACAACTTGCAGACTTGTTCAGTGGTGTGTAATAAAATAATAAGACAGAAAAACTCTGCTGTACCTCAACGGCTTCTAATATTTAAACTATTGGCCATTTTAGCACTCCACTCGTGTTTTTTTAAAAGGCAATGTTGTTATGCAGTTATGATCCCCATTCTTACCTCTGGTTACAAAGCTGACAGGCAAAACAGTCCAAATGGTAAACATTATCTCTGGCTCTCATCACCATTTCAAAGGCTGGGATCAGTTTACTGCAGGCTGCACAGTTCCCCGTTGTACCAAAGAGCCTGAAAGACAGAGAGCACAGACAGAGATTAACCCACCTTCCCTTTACCTTGATGCAATAAAAGAGCAAACAAAAAACGCACTGACAGCAAGAACAATAGCTGAAAAAATGCTGCAATGGAAGGGGAAAGAGGGTAAAATTGAAATACGTTGAATGTAATGCACAAATCTTTTTTTGGCACCCACTTGGTATTTTTGTTAATGAGAGTCACAAACAGAGATCTTAATTCTTGGCTAATGATCTAATTAAAATGATCACATGGTTTTAATCTCCTTCTTCAAAGAATTTCCCCCTTGCGCATTACAAAAGCAATGAAAACAGATCTGAGGCAAAGCATTTGAATTGTTGAAAGTTTTCTACTTTCATAACTAAAATACCTAATGAGTCTATCTCCAACCAAAGCCAGCTGGATTTTTACACAGGAGGATACGTTCTGTAATGTAGCCGTAAATTCAAAAGATTTCTGTTACTAGGATTCAGGCTCAATCCCTTCTCGCTCTCTCTCTCCGTCTCCTGCTTTCATTTCGGAGAGGAGCCTGAGACAATGATGGGAGATGTAACCTTGAAGAGTTAACAAAATGTTTCACGGTGAACAGACTCATTGCTCAAACCTCGCCACTGCTTGTTTAGGCTTATTAGATAGGAGCCAAATGATAAAGGTCACAAACAGAGCAAGGAGGCACTGGTGTAGATTTCTTTTCTGCTCAGAGCAAAGGAACCTCAAATGCCTTTTTCCCAGTCAGATTTACATTTTCATTTTCCAAGCGCCTGCCCCTATGTTTAATTTGGAGATTCTGGAGCGCAGATAGATTTATATATTCTGCAGGAGGAGAAGGGCCGTTTCACAGCTTTGCAAGAGGGGATAAGGCAACAGCAGATTGCCAATCCAACAGTATGTTAAACACTTTTCCCCAAACTTGTAGGGCTCAGACAGAGGAGTCACAGTGTTGATATTCTGCCTTGTTTATGCTAGTCCCATTCAGTTGCTTTCACCTTGTTAAAGAAAACGTCTATCCAGCAGGCCTGCATCTAATAAGGGGCCACTGCCCCACAGGAGCAGGAGAGACAGCAACAGAGGGAGAAAGGTTGTTATGTTCCATGAGAGGGATTCACACAGTGTTAAACAGAGACATTGTTACAACTAGTTACTGTTTCAGTAAACACTGCAAGTTCTCATACAGTAGACATCTGCCACCCACCAGGCATTCTGCAACACAAAGAGGCCTTTTTTTCCCATAGAGACCTTTTTAAAAAAGCAAACATCCAAGCATCTTTTCCCAACATCTATAAAATGTTCATACATTCAGTATTGATCCAAAAATTGACCAAACATCTGTGGTCCAGAAATTGGCCTTGTTTCTTTTATAGTATATAGGTTTCTAGCAAACACATAGCGGCAACCATGATTGGTTTTCTAACATGGTAAAATTAAGTTTAATTATTCATCACTGGATATAACACACTGTCTCGCACCACTTGTATATCATCATCATCACAGTCAAGTTACTGGCAGACTGGTCTGCTCCAGGTTTCACCACACCTGAGCTCTATTGGACTGAAGGGTCACACAGTGTCTTTTTCTCTCCCTCAGGGAACCAAGGCTATAAAAGAGCCTAGAGAGCCTCGGTCACTTACAGAGTCTGACATGCACACACCTTTAACAGCTCCTAGGATTATTCTAACCCATCTCCATTACACCCCGCTGGGCTGTGGACATGGTGCTCACTTGATACATACAGGTTGTGAAAACGCTTGGCGGGGGAGCCCGGCTTGCTGCCGACACTAAGTTCTACTTTCAGTCAAAGCAGCGTGTGACACCTGTGGCTAGCACCTTCCATCTATATTCTCAACAAATAAATATACTTTTCTCTATCTGCAGTTTTACAATAAGAGGAATAAAAACAGTACTACTGATACACTAAAAATAATATTTTTCCATTGCAAAAAAAGGCTTCACTGTATTTGCTTTCGCCAGAAAAAAACTGATCAAATCATTTGCTTACCCTCCTTTGTATTTGGAAGACATTTTAAAGCAGTAGTCTCCTGATTTCACACATGAAATGAAGTTTGCTTGTCATGTTGACTACTACTCAGCCTGTGAAAACAGTTGTATATAATGTCTTCTGTGGCTCTAGAGAGGCTTTGTCAAGTATGAGAAAATAACCCTGATTATGTCCCTATGGGTTATCTCTGCCTGGGACTGGAGAGTACAAAATAATTAATTAATTAATAAATTAAATTCCCTCACACACGCCCAGTTTGATAACAGTGATGACATCTTCAAGCTACAGCACTCCCCATAATGATGAGTAAACTGACCTTTTATGTGTAAAATTGGTTACTGACGTCACACTATTTATGACTGTTGATTATAAGAAACGATGAAATTAAGCAATTAGGTTAATGAACAAAATATCTGATTAATGAGATTGCGGTTGCAAACTCAATGAAAACTGCTGCACACATTTGCACAAATGTTCATAGTAAACCAGGAGCCTCATTTATCAAAATGTTCTTGGATTTATACTCAAATTTAGCAGTGTGTGGCGTCTAGCCGTAACATTGCGGATTGCAATTAACTGAACACCGCTGGCGTCTGTATTTGATGACCTGTTAAGTGTGTAGGAGAAAGTACGTTGGCCATGTGAAAGGCCCTATCTACAGCCAATGTTTGGTTTGTCCCTCTGGGCTACTGTAGAAACATGGCAGGCTCCACAGAAGGCGACCCGCTGTCTCTGTAGATAAAAAAAGGTTTATTCTAAGGTAACAAAAACAATCCAAAACAACAACTCCTATATTCAGGTGATTATACACTAATGAAAACCTTTGAATATTATATTCCATTTCTAACAATATATCCTCCTAAATGTTACACACTGGACCTTTAAGATCATTTCCCACCATGTTTTTACGTTGCTGAGCATAAACAACTTTTCCTATGCAGTTTCTAAGAAGCCCTTTTGCTACTTACACACCTTTGATTTATAAATCTCAAATTCACTTAAAAAGGGACCTTTTTAAGGCACCTGTCTTTGAGATTCCTCATCATCATTATTATTATTTTTAGTGGCCATGGACCAAAAGACACAAACGTAAATGGCAAATTAAGATTATGAGTCTGTGTTTAATTTGGCACATATCTGATCCACCAGCCAGTGTTTATTTTAATTTTTAAAATGATTGGCGAATTGAGGTGACAAAATGTTAAATTTGTACGGAAAAATACAGATTATCTTCGTGGATTATTGATGTCGAATTGAGAAGAATTCTTGGTAATACTTTTGATTGGATAGCCAAAAAGGAGAAAAAAGTATTTTGCTAATAGCACATAAAAAGGTAACTACAGTACCGTGGCATGCTCTCTTAACTGACACTGGTCCTTCTAAATCACCCTGAACATTTTCAAATCATGAAGAGATCCACTATCTCCATGCTAACCAAATTTCCTTATCTACTTTGTGACTTTCTGTCACAGAAAAAAAGGTGTCTTCCATCTTCACCATAACATGAAGATTTGGAGGGTGAGAAAGTGCACTGGATACGGCTGTGTCCCATTCACACAGTTCTTCAGCCAACAATTGATGTGTCTGGGTTATAACGTGGCATCAACATGCGGCTTAATTGGGCTCCTCGTGCTAAGAGGAGATTACAGCATGAGAGAACTGTTCAAACACATTACACTCTTCTCTTCCTGCTCCTCTGAAGCTAAAAGCAACCGGAGTTGAACCACCACTGCAGCAGTCTCATGAGTAACAGCTGAAGTGGAGCTGTGCATAGCAAGCAATGAGTGTTTCACACCAAAACATGATCAAGAGGCAAATGTAAAGGTGAAGGGATTTAATGTCCGATGACAAAATGCAGTAAAATAGAAAAGTAAAATAGATTAAGCACAATAAGGTCAGTTCAAGCATTTGAAAGTAAACTAGCCAATTAAGACTGTAATTAAGGATTCTATAAGAAACCATACACCGTATGGACAGTGCGCTGTGTAGCTATATATATATATATATATATATATATATATAGCTACACACACTAGAACACTATGTTAACACAGTTGGTTCGGTCTTTTTTTTAAATTTAAACTCGATATGCTTCACATCACTGAAACAGTGCCTTCAAAGAACATACGTTGTGGATTACCTTTGAAAAATATTAATTCATTTCATTTACAATAGACTTAGGCTATTTTCTGCAGAATTCCCACGTATTGTTCTGACACATGTCCTGTATTGTAGGAGTGCAGTGGCTCATGCACTTCAATTTCCCCGGTCATTTGGATTAAATAAATCAATATTCTCAAAAGTGGAAAAAAAAAATTTAACATCAACACAGGTTTTCAGCATTTCTATTTAAATAGAGTGTGAATGGTAAGTTTCTGGAAAAATTTGTTCGGAGCTGCTCATATTACATTTTCATTTTTTCAAAATATATGCTTCTGTGGTTTTTTTAAATAGATTAGAGGGTTAGAAGTGCTGATCTGGATTGCTCCCCACAACCTCTGAGACATTCTGGCGTGGATTTCTGAACGGGATAATGCCGTATACAGTGAAAGCAGGCTGGCTATTTATTGGATTGGATTGTGATGATGACATTTAAATGCTCCTAAAAACACACAGTGTTCAGGCCCCTTTTATAGTATGTAATAGTTAGTAGGGTTGCAACTACAGTAGTAGCTATATGTATGTATACACTGTCCTCCAATGTTTAATTATGTTATACTTACAAAATGTTGAATTACTAAACACTTAACCCCTCTGTCTTAGATTAAAGGCTTTAGTAATGGGATCAATAGTCATCATTATTTTATCTTAGATCTAATTATATGCATATGGTTTTGTTTTGTAAACAATCAGTAGTTGAATTTTATTTTTTTGTTCAAATTCTTTCCAAGTATAAGTCATTAATTACATGTATTTATAGGACAACACCCTGCTTCCTACAGTCTTCAACACGGGAGAACTGGCACATTCTGTACTCCTTAAAAAGAGCTCTTATTTAGTAGCTTAAATTTTAACTTTGTGTGCTGATGTGGGTTGTTGGGAGCAGATTTGGATGGCAGGAATATAAAGAAGCCCCGCTCTCCTTCCTCTGTTATTGAGTTATTACAATGAGTCTTTAGAGAAAAGAGGGCCTTCTTTAGTTCTTTCAACTCGCTGCTTTGCCAACTTCAAACCCTTAAAGCTCCTACAGTGCATCATCTGCCTCTCTGTATTGCTTCCCTCAGATTGGGCTGTGGCTCTTGAAGTGTTCTACCTGTTCTCTGAGCTCTTTGAGACTTCCCAGCCTGCACGGGGTTTGTCAGATTTCATAAAAGGGAAAGCTGTTAATGCATGCATCGCATGTTCTGACCCTCCCCAACAGTTGTGTCTTTTTGAAAGTTTAAACCGTTCTGTTCAGATCTATCTTGCCCAGAGAGGAAGAGCAACTGTTACGGGAGGAGAGCAATTGTTTTACTTAGTAAAGAAGCAAGGAGAGGACAGATTTGAAAAACAGTCACATCCGGATGGAGCTATCATATTCCCCCTGCTGTTTCACCGGTTTGTGGATAACTTATAATGTTCATTATCTTGAAAACGTTTTCCTCTTACAGTTAATTATACCCCATTTTGATAAGTGGATGACTATTATGTCCTCTCTAATATATGAAATAGAAGATTAAATGATTTCAGGCTTCAAGTCCTGATGATCACACCATGACTAGATTGTCAACCCTCTGGTGAAGTCGTACGATCCTAGGCGCCTAATTAATCTATTATTCTCATTCATAATGAAAGAGTGTGGCCAAGTTGCTAAAAAAAACACTCTCTTGATACAGGGAAGTGAATGTCAGGGACATTAAAAACGGAACTTTTTTGTTCGTACAATGGTTTGGAGGGCAGGGGAGGACGCTGTTTGACGTATGTGTGCATTTTAGTATTTGTGTGTGTTGAAGTGTAAGATTCAGGAAAGCGTGAGTGCATTCAATAAGTTGCTAATGCCACTGAAGGACAATCACAGATGGAGCTCCTATAATAATTAATGTGAGCATGGCAGGATTCCAAACCCTGGGAAATAACCAAAGTGTGTTTGATCCACCCGCTTGTCTTTAATGAAGTGCAGGAGGCTAATTCAGTGCACAGATTTAACTTCATTACCGCAGGTGAGGGGGAGCCTTCGTCTTACTACACAGAAAAGAAGGAATGAAAAGGAAACCGGTGCCGGATGGAAACTGCATCACCTACTTTCACATACTCTGGTCTCTCATACTGCCTCCTCTCTATACGCAAGGCAAGGTTTTTAATTTGTTCCATAATAGAATTCATCTCAAGCATCTCTGGCCATTAAGTGTTCTGCATTTGTCGCAGGCTGAAGAGCAGGAGAGTGGGATGGATTTCATTAGGCAATCCGGGGCTACAGAGGAGCACAGAAAGCTCTCTCCTCCTCCTCTTTCCTTTTTATTCTTATTTTAGTATTCCTAACTCTTGATTTCATGTGTCATTCTCAGTTTTTCATCCCTTCTCTGACCTCTATGTCTTACTGGTCTAATGTGTGAGAAAGCTTTTCCTTCTCCCTCCACAGTGCCAGTTAGGCACTTACGGCTTGGGGGTTGGGGTTGCTGTCCTTCTGGCAGATGTATTTTACCAAGTGAAGCTCTGAGCTTCATCATTTTTGCCTTCTCTTGGTCATTTGCCCATTTATTATTACCTCATCTGCACCATCTGCCCCTTCTGGGGGCAACATCAGGTCTTAGTGGACCTCTCACTGCATCTTAAAAGCATTAACTGTGGGTGGGAACTGATGGATGGTAATGGCCTATCTCAACGTAACGTCCCTAAGCGCCTCTCAAGTGGGCTGCGGGCTTCTTCCAGGTCAGAGGAAGAGCTGAGCTATAAGTGAGATGTCATGGAGATCCATGAGTGAGGTAGGAAGACAACCAAGTTGATTAAGATTCTCTTTGCTTTGGATTTTAGAAGTGATACAAAATGATGGCTGCTGTTAAGTTTCTTTTCTTTTAAATTAGAATAATGAACTGATACAAAGCTAGCGGGCAGCAATAACCTGTAGGTATAAGTGAGGGAGTGAGGGGACAAGTAGGCAGAAGGGAAATGGAAAAAGGGAAAGGGGGAGGACAGTACAGGACAGGGAGTTTTAGGAGAGAGGGGGGGCCTAAGGCACTGGCATCCCTAAGTCTGCCCCAGGGGGATTCCCTCTCAGATAAATGGTAGGATCTCATTGGGAATGTGACTTAACGCCCTGGAAATGGTCATGTTTAATTTAACAAGCAGATGGCAGGGGCATCTGAGGGGGGGGGGTATACAGAGCCAAAGACACTGATGAAGCAACAAGCCTGCCTGGAGGTTTCTTACAGCCTACAGCTCTAGTGCAACTGAGAACCAGTCTACGCCAACAACAGAAGTCTTCTCTGTTTGTGTAAATACAGAGAAAAGATTGAAATATGAGAATGAACGCTGCAAAAACAAACTGTGGTTTAAGCTCAACTACACGTTGATGGTATAAATATCCCTATAAAGTCAAACAAGTCTACCAAAACAAATGACATCTAACTCTGTAGCAACACACTGCTGCATTCAACATGCAGAGCCCTTTAATAAGTAATTATGGTGGCAGTAAGTTTTTAATTTCTAGTACAATTGTTATTAAATGTTAATTATACTGAATTTCATGCCAATTTTTGTAGGTTAGGCAAATTGATCCCCCTGAAACAGTTGTTTTTTAAGGTTGTCTTTCACTGTGACAATCACGTCAAAAGGATATCCATTGATACTATACAACTGGCATTTAAAGTAAAACTTTGTAGAAAACAATCACTTGCACCAGTTAAAGTTAAAAACAGGTTACGGTTGAAGATATTTAAAGATGTTAAGTAAGCTGTGAAAACAACCTATTGTAACCCACTGCTTACTTTATATCCCACTAGTTTAAGTTATACAGTAGTTAGATTTTTTAAGAGCAAGAACAATGACGCACTGCTCCCAAAATGTTCTTATTTATTTTTCTGCCTGTGCAATATGTTAAAATAAAACATAATACGACAACAAACTCTCAACATATTAGGTTTTGGCGTGATGAAGTTTTAAAACTGAGGAATCTGCATGATTTACACTTAGACTTTAGACTGATTTTAACCGTAGGTTCTTTGAATGGGAGCCGCAGGAAACAGCAAACACCAAAGCAAACTGTACTGGGAGGTAAAAAAAAAAAAAGCCTTTGTGATCCTTTCATGTCCCACAGCTCTTGGAATGGCATGGCTTTTGTGTTTGTTGTGAGTGGAGAGAGGTGATTGTGTGTCTTTCTTGCCTCAGGTAGTCTCTGCGACAGAGGATGAGGTTGGCTTTCGTATAGAGGGTGGAGCCCACCTCCCCCAGGCGGCAGTCACAGCAGGCACATTTGAGACAGTCCTCATGCCAGTATTTGTCCAGGGCCTTGAGCAGGTAGCGGTCTTTAATCTTGCGATTGCAGCCAGCACACCCCTTCTGTTTCCCTTTGGGCTGGACGGAGAGCATCGGCACACCTGTAGTGATAAGGAGACAAACAGCCATGCGTGATTTACGGCCCAGGAACACGAGTGACTTTTCATGTTCTCTTTTTGATAAGCCGGCTGCTTCTCGAGGCGTCTAAGCCTGGCCTCGCGCACGGCCACAGCACACTGCCTACCTGCTTCATATGCATTAAAGAAAACATTCTTCCATGTAGATAGGCACACAGGTCACATTGGACTACAAAGCCCTGACTTACTTGTTCCACTAAGAACATGCTGTAATACAAAAGTTACATGATCACTTGCAGCAGGTTTCAGAGGAAGGGGCATGTCTTGTGTATTCCTGAGGAGAAAAGACATAATGTTTGTTTTGCTTACTGTGTATTTACAGCAAGCTGTGTAGTATGTTAGTTACCTACCATTTCATCAAAGTCCATTTCACTCAACTGTCCACAGCTGTAAAAGCTCCTCATGGGCTTTGTTTGGTATAGATTAACATTAACCTTTTAAAAAGCCTCTGACCACAAAAACGTTGCTACCAGACCCCAGTGAGATATGTTATGGCCTAAGTGCCTTTTAGCATACACTCACTCTGTGTTTCATACGTACACACACAGAGACACACACAGACACAGACTCTCACACACACATTTATGCACACCGACCACAAACACACTCACACAGTGTTCCCTACTCAGAGCATTACAGCCTTTCCTCTTTTTACACTTATCTGTACTCATGTGTCGGCAACGAGCGAGCCTAAGTTACCAAACTCGCAAATTGCCCTGCTGTCACGCAGGTCCCCTTTAAGCACGCCTTTTAGCCTCCTAAAGGACAAATAAAGTCCATTTAATAACTGCACTAAACACTAATAGTCTATGTGTGGTTGACATTTGTGTTTGGACTAAAAGCCCCCCTCAGGCCACTGGTGGTACAGAGGCAGGGGCGCACAGCTCCCCTCTGTAGCACTAACAGGTCTGCCACAGCTGAGAGCACAAGACAACAGCTCTTAAGACACTCTCTCACACACTGAGCTATTGATCCGTCTAAAAGAACACACAGTGGACGCCACTTGCCACTCTACTTTCAAAACACATTTTTCTCTCTCTCTCTCTCTCTCTCTAAAAAAAAATAAATAGAAATAGACTGGACACTCTGCATCACAGGGGGTTAGGCCAGCATTTTGTATGTGTGGGTATCTATAAAGGACCATTCACGTTATACTGAGTTTTATATGAAATGTCACTGTTTCACTGTTGTACTTTAGTGATGTGCTCAGGTACATTTTGTCCAGACGGGATAAAGGTTTGATTTTATTTATTTCTTTAGCAGGAATACATGCACAATTGTGATACTGTAATGTTTAGTGTGAAAGGGGTCATTTTGTAGTTAGAGCTGCCATTTTACAGTAACTTCTGTGGTTGGCTCACTGATAAACACAACCTCAGCTGCTAACAAGGGACTGCTTCACTCTGCACTGTTTTTCTGTGCTCAGCCTGTCAAGTTCGCTCTCTTTCACAAAAACCTACCACTTTTCAAAGGACTTCTTTGGAATAGAAAAGCATATTTTCTCTTTTTCTGTCACATGTGCACATACACACACACACACACACACACACACACACACATCTGCACACATACTTGCTCACCTAAATGGACCCACAAAGTACCTTATTGGATCCAGATTTGCTCTGCAATTTTTGGCCATCCACACATCAATAATGCTATGAATGTAATATAATTAGCATTTCCCCTTTTAAAAAAGAAGTGAAAGAAATAGGAGAGCTTGTTAGTCAAATTTATGGCTTTGGTTTATATGTCAGTAAGTGCTCCAGTAGTGTTGAGCCATCTTATTTCTTTATCAGAAGTGGAAAGGAGAGGCTTATTGGTTCAGTGCTGGCGATGGGAGCCATCAATTAGTGTTCTGCCTGCCCTCCAGCTCCTTCACCTCCCTCCCTCCCCAAAACAGGCCCCTTGAAGCTGGCACATTAGGATCACACAACCTGCTATAAATACCAATGTTCAGTGTAAATGAAGCTAAAAAGCTTCAAATTCAAGCCACACTAGCTAAGGGTGGACTCTACTACCTGCATTTCATGGCTTGTTAGGGGAGCTCTCTGCAGGTATGCCAACAGTGCTCGCCTGACAGACTTCTACAGAACTAAAAACAGTCTTAATGAGGAGAGAGAGAGAGAAAAAAAAGCCTGTGTGTGTGTGTGTGTGTGTGTGTGTGTGCCTGTGTACATGTGTATGTGTGTGTGCTTTAGAGTTTGTGCAAAGAAAAAAGAGTTGCTGCAATTCCCTCGGGGATCACAAAAATCTTTAATTTGCCTTTTATGACACCTAATTAGTTATTCTACTCAAAATCTTTGCTTTAAATAAGAGAACTAATTATACAAAAAGGTCGTTCCTCCACCTCCGGAGAACTACTCCTAATTGGTTGAGACCACCACCCACCACACACTGCTTAAACATATCACGTGTGTGTTTTACATCACGTTTGAAAAGGCTAAAGCTTAACCTATCCTGGAATTATAGGATGCTGCTCAGCCCCACTATTGGATGCATACTTTGTTTAAAACCCTGCTCAGAATCATCAAAGCGACAGCATCTGTGTGTCTGTGTGTGTAGTGCGACCCAGGTTCTGTGTTTGCAGTTAGTCTGACATTCATGTCGTCGTGAATATGTCCTGGTACTTCAGGCCTGACTGTAAAAGAGATGTCTCAGTGGAGGAATGCCTTATGTCTGCCAGAAAACCAGTATGCACACTCAACTGATGCCTCTTTCTTGAAGCCATTGCAGGGAACAAACATGGGTTTGATGTCTTCTACCAAAGCAGCCTCTGGAAAACAGCTTTAATAGTTGTGTAGCAAGCACTAGCTCAAACCTTCTAAACAAAGAGCAGTGACAGAAAAAAATGAGTGTGTAAAGTAAATGTCTTTTCAATTCCCTTAATGCCATGAGACATTTTCTTGCACCTGTCACCACTCCCAGCGCTATGTGAAACTGTGGAGTAGAACTGAAGCTCCCATGCTTGCCACCTCCCAGAAAGAAAAGCTGCATTATGAAAGGAAGCAGCAGACTAGGAGGCAGCCTCCACTTAATCCAATCCATTTAACAGATACAAGTGCCACTGACCTTCCAGTGTCATTTGATGTCACCAAAAGCATGCCTCTCCACATCACGATTCATTCTCCAACAAGGGATGCATTTTACCCCTCCAAGTGGAGAGACAGCACTTGCCCTGCCAAATATCCGTCCTGAGAAGGAATTTAATTTGCTATTAGTACTGCGTGTAAAGGCCTGTCATCTCTCCCTTCTTCCATCCATCTACTTTCTTTAAGATTGTATCTTTCAAGAATATGTACAGTTAGTTTTTCTCAGCCCAAGCAGTCTGTCAGAGCATGTATTTTCCATTATAGAGATAGCATCCGATTTCTATGTTACCCCATTTAGACTTCCGTCTTTACAGCTATCAAAAAATCACATCAGTCTGCTAACCTTTTTTGATATATTTAAGGTTTTAAAGCCTGGAAATATGCTGTTTGGGGCACTCAAGGAAATGTTTGATATTAGAGAAATACAATTATCACATAGACGTGGAAAAACCCACATTTACTCAAAATGGACAAGAGTGTGTGAAAAGAAAGATGATTTGCCACATACCCCTTTTTTTCAATTATTATCACTAAAATATTTGGTTGCCACTTTTAAAACAAATGAGCGTTTGCTTGGATATTGTGCTGTAAACCTGAATGTATACAGGTTTCCTGTGTCCCTGAGCCATCAGCCATGTTGTGTCATGTCATGTGGACTAAAAGAAGATTGTTTTTTGCATTGGCATCCACTGCTGTGGGTACAAAACTAGGAAATAATAATTATCATGAAAATACTTGCTAAATTCTACACTGCCAGGGTTACTCTCTCTGTATTTCTGCTCTCTCTTCTGTTACATAGTTTTACAGGACGTAAGGCTGCAGCAAGCAATTATTTTCATTATTGATTAATCTTCAGATACTTTTCTGGATTAATAGATTCTCTTTGTCTATAAATGTCATAAAAAAGTGAAAAATTCCCATTATATTTCCCACAGATCTATTAAGCTAGCTTGTTTTATTCGATCAACCGTCCCAAACCTAAAGATATTCAGTTTAATGTCATATATGACAAAGAAAAGTGTCAAATCATGATATGTGACAAGCTGGCTGTCTGATATTTTTGCTTGAAAAGTGATTAAATTAATTAATCGATTACCAAAATATGTTGCTTACTTTTCTGTCGATCGATTGATTGGCTAATGGTTGCAGCTCTAACCATCACTTTCTGGAGTCTAAGGGGGCGTCTTGAAATTGCTCATTTTGTCAAACCAACAGTTAAAACCCAAAGACATTAAATTTTCGATCATATAAAAATGGGAAAAGCAGCATTTAAAAAAAATAAATGACAAATAGTAGTAATTAATAGTAAGTAATTTTAATTTTGAACGACTAATCGATTAATGGACTGATCCTGTCAGTCATAGTCTCATGTGCACACAGCAAAATTGTAAGTAAACTGCCTTACAAATGCATGGTTTGCTTCACTACACAACTACACCCATGATCCCAGTGGAACAGCTGCTCTCACAGGCACTCAGCCTTAATGGCAGAAGGGACAGTTACATCTGATTCTGTTGGGTTTTTTTTAAATGTCTTTTGATCAATTAAAAGCACTGACACCATGGTGTGATGCAGATTTCGCTGGTTCACGGGGAGGTACAGGATCTTGATTAGAATCACTCAGCCTTCCTGACACATGGGGAGGGAGGTGGGCTTTCAAGGAGGTGGAAGCTGGCCCTGGGTGGGCCTCCTCTCAGGGGCCCCTATAATTCCAACTCCCAGCTGCAGCAAATAAGAGAGTGTTAGCCACCAGCGTGGTGAATACAAAGACTGGGATGCTCAGGGAAATTAGATACTACACTACCAAATGATTGCGTTTAGCTGAAACAAGTGCATTTGTCATCATCACCATCACTTAATTCAAAGCACTCCTGC